CGCGCGCCTTTCTCTTCGCGCGCCTTTTCTTTCGCGGCCACTTAATTTCGGGTCGTCAGGTTGGCAGCACTCCGCCCCGCCCCGCGTAGAGCTACAGTGAATTGAGCATCAGTATTCCGCACGTCGGCGCGATAGAAGAGCGTCCTCCTGGGGATGTAAGGGCGGCTGGCGGCCGGATGAGAAGGGGCAGGAGGAGGGTAGGGGGAGGGGCGGTCTGTGCTGTGGTCGGCGGCGGTGGCGTTTGTCTTAAAACTTTTTATGTTCTTTGTTTTGAAAGTTCTTTTGAATTTTCTTTTTCATTATTTTCATCTTTAGGAAGCAGCACAGAGGGGTGGTGGTGGTGGTTGGTGTGGTCGTGGTGGCTGCGGCGGCGGTATGTTTTCATCGTCGTCATCATCTCATGCCACGGGGGGGACGTCAAAGGCGACCCAGCGGCGCGTCGGTCAGTGGCGCCGGTGACTGCGCAGCTCGCCCAGCCCCAGCCCAGCCCCCTCCACTCGCACACACCGGCCCGCAGAGGGGAGGGCACACAGTGTCCCTCGGAGTTACTCCCCGGCCCCGCTTCAGGCACAAGCCTCCACCGCAACACGCTGCCTGGATCCACCCACCGCGCGCGTTGTCATGCAGGGCACGATCGTGTAGGGCGCACCGCGGCACACGCAGTGTATAGGAGAGAGACAGCCCCCGCCAACAGCGAGCGCTTTTAAACGGCCGCGGGGGAAGGGCAAGGGGTAGGCGACCGGGACGTCATTGTCGTGCCCGGCGACGGGGCGGAGCGAGGTCGTCGTCGGTCCACGCGGTGGCACCTGATTTACTCAAAGAGGCCCTTCTCGATGAACTCGAGGATAATGTCCTCGGTCGCGGCCCGGCACGCCGGGTCGTTGAGCGAGCGTATCCTGGCGGGGTCGTCGCGGACGAGCATGGTCTGCGAGTCGATGCCCTGGCCCGCCTCCACGTAGCGGATGCACGTGAGGCACGAGGAGAAGGCGGCCCAGTGCTCGCGCGCGCGCAGGTCCCGCTGCAGGGCGGCGAGCGTGGGCACCGCGCCGAGCCAGCCCAGGGCGCCGAGGCAGGCCGCGAGCTCGGCGTGGTAGGCGCGCACCAGGCGCGCGCTGTGCAGCTGGCGGACGCGCGGCGCCGCGCCCAGCGTCAGGAAGTAGTGCAGGTCGATGGCGGGGCTGGTCCACGCCACCAGCTGGAAGTCCACGAGCAGCGCGGAGCGCACCTGCGCCGTGTGCTCGTCGTAGGCGAACATGATGTTGTTGGACCAGGCGTCGCCGTGGCAGAGCACGGCGAAGTCGCCGTCGCGGACGAGCATCGCGTCGAGCGCGCGCTGCGGGTGGGTGCTCACGGCCCGCTCCAGCCGGGCGGCCACCTTCTCGCCGAGCCTCGGCCAGGTGCGGGCGACCGTCGCCAGCGTCTGCAGCGTCGTGACGTACAGTCCGTCGAACAGGGGCCGCATCTCGGGGCCCGCCCAGCCGTGGCCGTACGCCTCCAGGTCGCGAGCGTGCCGCCCGCCGCGGCCGTGCACCACCACGGAGGCGGCGTGCATGCGCGCCAGCAGGCGCACCGTCAGCAGGCTGTGCGGCAGGTCCAGCCCGTCGCGCCGCGGCACGTTCGTGTAGCCCTGGAGGGAGAGTCCAGAGGGGCGTGAGAGGGAATCCAGCTTTTAAGCCACCAATACAGAGGGAGCATTTCACTCTAAAAGAAATCGATGTGCAACATCCAATTTTTTTTAAAAAAATCAAGAAAGCAATCCGAAAAAATCAGACAAAATTAGAGTAAATTTTTTAAAAAATCAAGAAAACACAGAAAAAATTGGCGTTTTCTTTTGAATTAGTAGTGAATTAGTTAGTTACCCTGGCAGCGAGGTCTTCCATGAGGAGCGCGCCGTTGGAGCAAGCGGCGATGACCTGCGGACCGATCTGCAGGTGCTCGGCGGGCCGATGGCTCAGGCCGGCCGCCAGCTGGCGCTCCAGCTGCGGGAGCGTCTCCTTGAGCATGAGCGTCTCCTTGGCGAAGACGCCGCACGCCTCCACCATGGCGTTCTCCGCCGCGCCCGTCGGCATGGCCTTGACGATCAGGCGCCGCACCTCGCCCTTGCCGAGGTGCGCGTGCACGCGGAACAGCTCGCTGAGGTAGTTCTCGTTGGGCCCGGTGGCGGGCCGCACCCGGATGGTGGTGACCTGGCCGCAGGCCTCGTCCGCGTCCCTCATGGCGGCCGTCAGCAGCTGGGGCGTCAGCCAGGGCGGCATGGCGAGCGACGGCGTCACCGCGGCGGGGGGAGCGTCCGCAGGCTTCATGATCACCGGAATGGAATGCCGCCCCTGTGTTGAAAACGGAAAAAGTGACCCGGAACTGCTAAAATGAGATAAACCATGGTTTATCTTGCAAGGCCTTGCAGGGCGGGGCATGCACTTAACTCTCATACAACCTATGAATTTCCCGGCTTCCGTGCAAGCACGCTATGACGACGACCTTCACTTCGCATCGGACGGAAGGCAGCGTCGTGTGTTTACTCCTGATCCTCATCGATATACGGCGTACGTTGAGGGGGGAGAGTTAAGAGGCCCGCGTCTCTCCGGAGGCGAATGTTTTGAAACGCGCAACCTCCGCAGCAGTTAGTAAATAGCAGAGTGCCTTGCTCTCCATATCCCACCCACTCTCTGCCTCGGCAAACGCACTAGCTTTACAACGTTACTAACGACGTCTTGCTTTTTATCAAGCAGTATTGGAAAAACTATGTCTTTCTTTCACAAGGTCGGAAACCAAGACTATTTTTTGACTGTGCAGGGATCATCTAGAAAGCACGCCCGTCACTCGCTGTTGAGTACCCGCTCAGTCATGCCCAGGCAAGCTCTTACAGCGCCGTATAGGCGCCATATAGGCAACACCTTGCCTGCAGTCAACGCGTGTACTGCGGAATAGCCTACCCTGCGTCTCGCAGGCGCCGCGCTCCCCGGAATTCGCCGAATGAATGTAAGAGGAACGGACGTACTTTCTGCTGACCGATTCCCTTACCGTTCTAACGGCGATAATATCCGACCCACGTTAGACACTTTTTGGAGCCGATAAAATCCTGCGGTACTCACGTTCGCCCTGCAGTTGTGTTGGGTCAGGTGGACGGTAGCGGAGCGGGGGCCCGACTGCGACAGACGACGGGCCGCGCGCCGGTCGCGCTGCTGGACACGGCCGTCGCCTCTCCGTTCCCACGACGCGCACGTGAGTGTCGCGTGCGGAGTGCAGCGCACTTGGCCGTGCCCGGTCGCGCTTGGTCGTGCGGCAGTGTGTTAAGGACCGAGGGCAAGGGTCCGGGATTATGATAGCAGGACATAGGCGCGGCGAGGCAACACGCACACGATTTTGATTTGAACTTTTCATTTATTAACGTTATACAAAAGTGAGTGTACAGTCAGATTATTAATCGTCAAAACAACAAAACTAAACAAAATAATAAAAAAAGTCTATGTGGCAGTGAGATCAAAATATACCTAACTTGGTACAGATTGGCAGTGATGTAGTATAGGCTTGGCGCATGGTAAATGCATAGATAATAAACTAATGGTGTTCTTAGACGAACAATTGAACCAATTCAATCATATTTCAAAAAATAAACCAAAATTTTTAAATTCTCAAAGTAAAAGTTGGAGTTAAAATGTTTACTGAATAGCTTTTGATATGATTTGGGCGTGCGAACATGCAATTGTATTTGTAACAGTAAACAATTTTTGTTGTGTTCTTATTATACAGTGAAATCTATAACACTAAACATCTACGAATACTTATTTATAATTAAAACTTGCTCTGGTAATTTTAAAACTTCCAATATCTGCGCTTAGAATAGTGAAGAAATGAACATTATGAACATTGACATGTATGGGTAAGTTGTAATTGTACACGAATAGGTGATGGTCCATACGTTTCTTATACAGACTACTGATGATAAACAATTAATATAAGTCAACCTTACCTAGTTGGGTTATCAAACCGTGTTGATACAAAATTTTGGTAATGACAGTCGGGAAAAAGCAGCATTGCAATAATCATATCATTCTTCACTTTCAAAAGCACTTTTTAAAAATCATTCTAATCTAGTCATTCACAGCAAAATCCTTGCCGAACTTCGAGCCTCTAAGTACGACATCAAAGAAACTAGTTCACGTACGCAGACGCATTTCGACAAACCGTATCTTAACCAAACGCATCACAGTAGCACAGTCTTAGCACATCTTTACTTTAATACACACCTTTTCTAGCAGTCTTGAATGAGCTTGAGACAAACACGTTACAGTGCACAAAAGTGATGATGTCCGGCCGACATGTGCGTTTGGCGTGTTTGCAGTCATTTCATTTAACCATTCAAATCCTAATATCTCCAAGCACGTACCATTCCAGTTCCCTCACAATGATATGAGTCTCAAAATTGTTTCTAAATCAGCCTCTTTCATTCAAGGTTCAAACCAGGTAGGTTGAGAATCTTATTTAGCCTGATTTACAGGTAGGAGGCACCTTCTGGCAGTAAGAGTAACTGCGATCGACGCGAGCGCAAATATATTTTGAATTTGTATCCAAAGTGTGCAGTTTTGCTGTCACTTTTAATTTGTTCCTCACTAATTTTTTTTCCCTGACTTCCAGTTATCTTATTTTTTCTCTGAGCCTCTTCCGTGACCGGTATGAACCCTGACATAGCATTCACAAACACGCATAAAACGAAACTCCCAACAAACTTTTAACAACTACTTATCACTTTTAAGAGATCCAGCACAGTGGAAATAATCCCTTTTCTCACATCGATCATCGACCAAACAGACAAGAAGACAACATCGCGACTGGGATGGGCAGGTAGTTTAATACTCATGAGCAACAACCGATAATTTGTTAAACCTTTGAACTGAGTTAATTGGACTTCCATTTTAGCTCATACAGACCAAGTGAATTTATCCTTTGAAAATCTTTATTGTCAAATTCACCAACGTCTACTTCTATACAATGGTAAAAAAACTGTAATTGGTAGTTGGCAGTAGCTCTGCAATTTTTGATACAGATAAATACATAGACCGTCCTTTAGGCCTTTAGAATGACCCTTTCAGAGTATTTGTAAATTATTAAGAGTCAGTAAGTGGCCATGGTAAGTGGTCTGAATGGGTCGGTGGAGAGGGGCAAACTAACGAACTGGCACTACTCAACTTCCCAAGCTCCACTCACCGTACGGACGACTTGGCTTTGCCCGGAGAGCTGGAACTTTATATTGACCTTGCCAAGATTGCATAAGTAGAGAGAGAAAAGCAGTTCAGGGGGAGAAAATAGCGATCGCCTTATCTTACAAATCCTCAAGGCTTCCGATGAGCCGCGCGCGGCGATTGGTGTACAGTGGCCGACCTTCCGAAAAGTTGCCGAGACGTAAAGGTAAAGCTCCGCGGCGCTCAGTGGGTCGCATGCGCGTGCCTCGCGTGGGCCGCCGCCACGCCTGCGCGCGTGTGTGTGTGCCGACCCGTGCCAACCTTTGAGCCGGTCCAACCTCTAATTTCCCCGGACAGGGCTGCGGCGGGGCCGCTTGGGAAGTATACCTCACCTCATCACAAAACTTTATCATCCAAACCCACCTTCTTTGTGTGTCCATAGCGCGTGTGGCTGATAGGCACTGACATTTCTCATTTCCTAGTGTTGGCTTTTCGACAAGGCTACACGGACAGAGTTGGGAGCTAGTGGCAACTATTTGAGCAGAGGGGCAGGCAAGTTTGCGGGCGCGCGTGTGCAGGACACGTGGCAAGACTCGCCTGAGATCGCGCGAGGATCGAGTGGCAGTGGATTCCTATTAGCGTCGTCTTCGAGAAGCAATATGTGTGGCAGTAGAACGCGGTCCCCGCCACGCCTCCGCTTGCACTCGGGCCGATATTGCTTGGCGAGGCTTTCTCTCTGACAGACAGCGATCGGGAAGCTCTCTGCGTCGTTTTAATTTCCGCGTTATTTGGAAGCATCTGGGCGACAAGAACAGCTTGCGATAGTGGGGAAGCTAGGGAAGTGCGTTTCCACCCCCCGTCATTCAGAAGGAGAAGTTGTGACCCTTACTGACTCAATTTTAAATAAATGTTCATCGAGATATGACAAGTGAACATTGTCTAATATAAATGGTATAGAAATTTAAATGTCATCAAAGAAAGAGAAAGTGTACAAAAATGATCCTCATAATTAGTAACGACGTTGTTCCACGGCAACTTCATGGGGTGCCGGCATCGGCTGGCCCACGCAACTACTCTGCGACACTGACCGCAGCCCCCGGTCCGTTAAAAACTTCTTCCAACTTCGCAGAGAGCTACGAAAAAGAAATGTGTGAAAAGAGAGCCTCCCCGCCAGAGTCCCTGCGGGTCGGGTCGGGGAGGCGTTTAGCGAGGCGGTCACGTGGGGTCGGGCGGGCGCTTGGCGTGCTGTCGCGTGCTACCGCGGGAGCACTTGCCCGAGCACTTGTCGGGCCGCGCCTCGCTCAGAGCGCCGCTCTGCGCGTCGCCCGACCGGCACATGAGCAGGTTCTTGTACGCCTGCCTGTACTCGGAGCTCATGACCACGTAGATGATGGGGTTGATGCAGGTGGTCAGGTAGATGCACACGTAGCCGGCAATGTTGAGCACGCCGTCGTCGAAGTAGTCGCGGAAGGCCTTGGACACGGTGATGGGCAGGTAGCAGATGACGAACGCGGCGAAGATGACGAGGATCATCTTGAGCAGCTTGCGGTCCTTGGCCGTCATGCGGCCCGGCTGGCTGGAGCGCCGCATGACGGCGGCCATGGCCGAGCTGAGGCGCTTGCTGCTGCTGGTGACCCCGCCACGGCCCAGCCCCGGCGCCAGGCGCAGTGACCCGCACGGCGACGGCAGCGGAGAGGGCCTCGGCGTGCACGGCGGCGACCCGGCGCTCAGCGAACTCACGGACGCGCCGTCGTCCGCCGACGTGGGCACGGAGAGTCGCGGGGGCCGCGCCGAGGGCGGCAGCTGCGGTGGCGGCAGGATGTCGCTCGGCACCGACAGACGGCTAGGTCGGTACATGGAGCACACCGACTGGTGCGAGGAGCGTTCTGTCGACGGCCCGGACGCGGACGCTGACGACGCGGACGCGGCCGTCGACGTGGACGGGCCCGTCGTCGTCGAGCTGCTGGCCGGGCGGCGCGCGCTGCGCGTGCTGCCACACCGCACCGACTGGCGCGCGCCCGAGCTCAGCCGCGACTTGAGCGCCGTCTGCCGGACGATGTAGAAGATGCGCGCGTAGCAGCCCGCGATTGCGATGCACGGGATGACGAAGGCCGTGATGAAGAGGAACTCCTTGGGGGAGCGGCCGTGCGCGTCCGGCAGGATGGAGCACGACCCGATGTGCTGGTCCAGGCCGAAGCGGCCCCACTTGCCCAGCCAGGTGGCGACGAGCGCGCCGAAGCCGCAGACCCAGGTGCAGCCCACCATGAGCCCCAGGTACTGGCCGCGGTACAGCCTGCAACAACCACAGGGTGTGTTAGCCTAAACCACCGCAGA